TTTTTTAAATAAAAAAAAAAAATATTTTTTAAAATTAGCATTTAGGGTAAATGCACCAATTATTGACCGATTAAAGTTTTTTTTTTCTGTACTAAGCTATAAAAAATCTGTTAACCTACTAAAAACAATTTGTGATGGATTTTATTAAAGTTAAATACTTATTTAATAATAATTAATAACTATTTATAATCAAAATTATATTAATTTTGTTATTTGAATTTTGAAATACTAAAATTACCAATTATTGACCGAAGAAACCCAATAAATGACCGACCGTTCTCCAATTAATTCACCGCTCAAATAATTATAAGTAATTTTGTAAACTACATGTATGTAATTAAATTTATGCAGTACTTTTGAAGTATTAACGACATCTTTAACAAAACTAAACATACAATATAATTTTAAATCGTACTTTTTTATAAAATAATATAAATAATAGCAATAATTAACATAAAGTCACATTTCTTTAGGTCACAAATAATCATAAATTCATTTTAATGACGATAATTCTTCTGATTCACTTGAAATTTTTTTATTCTTCTCCTTCTTTTTTTCAATTAAAGCTTTTTTACTAGCTTGTAACTCTTTTTTATTTTTTTAATTGCTTAGCAATTTTTTCTTCTAATAATTCATTCTTTGATATAACCGTTCACTAAAAAAATTAGAACAAAATAAAATTTAATAATCAAAAAAGATTTTAAGTATTATTTTAATTACAAATATACATTTTATAATGATTATTTTTATATTTACAAAATATTGAATGACTAAAGTACTTTAAACACTTGACAGATTTAATTTTGGAGTTAAGAAGTTAGTATTATAAATATACGGTCATTAATTGGATTGTGATAAAATCAGAGGGTCTAATAAATGACCGAATGAATTTTTTACTGGGTAAAGGGCTTCTGACGGATCCAATAGTTGACCGGTCTTAAAATAATATTAAAACTTATAATTTAACTTTATTTTTTCGAAAAAGTTGGAATCTGATCTTTAATTAACATAATAAAACTAAAATATTTTATATTATGCCGATAAATATCACTAAATTAATGATAAAATACACTCACTCTCCAATTGTACGCTAGTTATTTTTGACCGCTTTATGGCTGGTTGCGTTGTAAACAAACTCAGAATATTTTTTTAAAGCTATAATCACTGCGCAATTAATTGCGTAATTTTTTATTATGATGATTAAATGCCATATATTTTTATTTTAATACTTTAAGAAAAAAAAACCCTTGTAAAATATTAATTAATTAACTTTTTTATACATCGGTCAACTAATTGGTGACCGGTCAACAACTGGTGCATTTACCCTACTTTTTAAAATTTTTTTAAATTAATATTTGAGAATATTTTACATTCAATAATTTTTTAGGTTTTAATTACAAATTTTTATGGAAAAAATTATAATACTAAAGTTGGCCGACGTTTTTAATTTTTTGATTATTTTTAATTTATCAACTTAGAACTAAAAAATTTTTTAAAAAATTGCACTTATAGTTTTTCAAGTTTTTTACAAATGAAAATTTTTTCTTAATGATTTTTTGGATAAAATAAAATATTCTACAAATTTTTAAATATCGGCTAACTTAATTTTCATAAAAAATTAAATTAATAAATTCCACTTGTAGAAATTAGTAAAAATTATTTTTTTTTTATCATAATTAACTAATTATAAAAATTTTTAAAATTGTCAAGTCTGCTAATTTTAGTTTTATAAATTTAAAACAATTTTTTTTGCTGATTATAATTTAAAAATAATCAATTTTACTGTAAAAAAATTATTTATAAAATTATTATTTAATTTTAATTAACAGGAAAAATTCTCTGGAGTTGACATCCGTGTACGTGTAAACGGTGGTGGTCATGTAGCACAGATCTATGCTATCAGACAAGCTATCTCCAAAGCACTGGTTGCTTATTATCAAAAATGTAAGTTTATTTTATTTAAAAAAAATTAAAAGATATTATTTTACAATTTTTATAAATTTTTTAAACACAATTTATTACTAAGCAAATTTCCAAAGTTAAAGTTAAAAAAAAAATTAAATGCAATTTTAAAAAAAAATTTGACTAATTAATTTTCTATATAATACTTGAATTAATTTAATAAAAATTAAATGCAATTTTTAAAAAATATTGGACTAATTAATTTTCTTTAATATACTAAAATTTTTTTAATTTATTGCTTCAGAATAAATTAATTAAATTATATAAAAAATAATTCTGAAATTTTATAAATTTGAAAATTAAAAAAAAAATTTTTTAAGTTTATATTTATATTAATTAATAATTAATTTGTTTAGATGTCGATGAAGCGAGTAAAAAGGAAGTAAAGGACATTCTTATCCAGTACGACCGTACATTACTTGTTGCCGACCCGAGACGTTGCGAGCCCAAGAAATTCGGTGGTCCAGGTGCAAGAGCCCGCTACCAAAAGTCCTACCGTTAATCATTTTACATATTTACATTTTTTTGTACGTCATTAAATGATGAAAATAAAATGACAGGCAAAAATATTTAATTTTTTTTTATAATTATTTTTAAAATTACAAAATTAAATTTACTTTTGTTTAAAATTTTTACTTTGCTGGAATTTAATATTTAAAAATTGATTTCAGAAAATTTTTTAAAAAATTTCTGTGTTGAAAATTAATTTAGCAGATATTTGATAATTTTACAAATTTTTTTAACAAATTCTGGTAAAAATAATTAAATTTTTAAAAATAAAAAATACAATTTTTTTAAAATAATTTTTCGGAAAAAATTTATTTGTTAAAAATTAAATTAAAAAATAGTCAAGTGACTGTTAACATAAATAACAAAAAAAAAAAATATTCCAAATAAAGTGACAGAATATAGTTGAAAAATGTATACTTAGGAATTATAATGTAATTTAATTATGTACAATTTGAACAGGTGCAATTTCTGAAAGATGGCGTGCAAAATAACCAACAATATTTTTTTTTTTTTCCTAAAATTTTATCAACCACGCGGTCGCTGAATCTCAAGCATGTTTTTATTGTAATAACAAGCCTAAAAAATCTGTCACGTGTTGTCTGTCAATTTTAATTGTGTTTTTAAAATTATGTTAATTTATATTTTTTTATTTATTCGTGTTTATTTAAAGTTTTATATTTTATTGAAAATAAAAATGGGAAAAGGTTGTAAGAGTAATAAATTTTTGACTCTGATAAAAAAAGAGAGTTTAGTGGAAAATAATGACAAAGTCACGGAGTCGCTTTTGTTAACAAGTGAGAAAAATGATAATAATAACTTACCTAGCAGCAGTGTTGAAGAACTGTCAGGAAGAAATAAAGTGGTTGAAATTTTGGAAGATGAGAAAAAAAATTCTAGGACTGCAAGTTTTTATGAAAATACTTTCAAAGATAATAATCAACTTAACATAAATGTGTTAGTAATTTTTAATATTATTAATTTGGGTAAATGCACCATTAATTGACCGATTTATCCGGAAGCTGATATTTATTATTTTTTTAGCTCCAATTTATTTTACTAGTTGTTTTAAGTTACCATTCTAAAATCTAGGTCAAATATTGAAAATATAAAAAAAATTTATCAGACCTTTTTTATGGAAAATATTATTTTCTACTAATAGGGACCTTATAAATTTTAATAATTAAATAATGACTTTTGTTAAATATTGCACTGTACTTTCTTAAATATTGACGTTTTTAAAGATATAAGCTCATCCTGGTGTTACACTTATCGAGACCTTTCATTTGAGTACCCACATGCATTTTAATATATTTTTCATATATTCATATATATAAATATATGAAAAATTGATGTGGGTACTCAAATGAAAGGTCTCGATAAGTGTAATGTCTGGGTGAGCTTATATCTTTAAAAATGTGAATGTTTCTCAAGATACAAGGTCATTTCTTAAATTAAATAATTACTTTTGTTAAATTACACTATATTTTCTTAAATGTTGAAGTTTTAAAAGATATATAAGCTCATCCTAATGTTATACTCATCAAGAGCTTTCATTTGAGTACCCACATGCATTTTGCATATATTTGTATATATCATATATAATATAAATATATGAAAAATTGATGTGGGTACTCAAATGAAAGGTCTCGATAAGTGTAATGTCTGGGTGAGCTTATATCTTTAAAAATGTGAATGTTTCTCAAGATACAAGGTCATTTCTTAAATTAAATAATTACTTTTGTTAAATTACACTATATTTTCTTAAATGTTGAAGTTTTAAAAGATATATAAGCTCATCCTAATGTTATACTCATCAAGAGCTTTCATTTGAGTACCCACATGCATTTTGATATATTTTTCATATATACATATACATAATATATATAAATATGTGAAAAATTGATGTGGGTACTCAAATGAAAGGTCTCGACGAGTGTAACATCGGGATGAGCTTATATCTTTAAAAATGTCAATATTTCACAAGATAAAAGGTAATTTCTTAATTATGTATCTAGTGATACAGAATTGTCGAATTGAGACAAAATACTTATCACAATAAATTGACTATCAGTGAAAATCAAATTAAACCTTGAAAAGGCACAAATTCAAGTCAAGACATTTGCAATGACACTAAATTTTATTTAGAAAAAAAAAAAAAAAAAAAAAAGGATTTTATCATACGAATATCCTGGAGACAAAATTTTTCTTATTCTCTTAATACTATAGATCAACTATGAATAAATAAAATTTTAATTAATTAAATAATGACTTTTGTTAAATTGCACTGTACTTTCTTCAATATTGCCATTTTTAAAGATATAAGCTCATCCCGATATTACACTCATCAAGAGTTTTCATTTGAGTACCCACATGCATTTTCATATATTTTTCATAAATACATATATATAATATATATAAATATATGAAAAATTGACGTGGGTACTCAAATGAAACGTCTCGATGAGTGTAATATCGGGGTGAGCTTATATCTTTACAAATGTTAATATTTCACAAGATACACGGTCATTTCTTACATAAAATAATTATACTTTTGTCTAATTACACTGTACTTTCTTAACAATTGAAATTTTTAAAGATATAAACTCATCCCGATGTTACACTCATCAAGAGCTTCCATTTGAATGCCCACATGGTATTTTTTATATATTTTATATATATATGGTATTTGTGAAATATATAAATATATAAAATATATGAAAAATTGATGTGGGTACTCAAATGAAAGGTCTCGATGAGCGTAACATCAAGATGAGCTTATATCTTTAAAAATGTCAATATTTTACAAAATAAAAGGTAATTTCTCAATTATGTATATTTTTGAATGCCGCCTAAATACTTATCATAATAAATTGACCATCGGTGAGAATGAAATGAAACCTTGAAAAGGTTCAAATTCAAGTCAAGACCTTATGACACTAAATTTCACTAAAAAAAAACCTATTTTATCAAATGACTATCCTGGCCACAAAATTTTTCTTTTCTTTTATTTAGTTAAAATTAAAAAACATTTAATGACCATAAAATCTTCATTTAATATCAATATCATCACTTTTATATCTAATCGGTCAACTACTGCTCCATTTACCCTCTATAAATCTCCAAAAAAATAACTTATAGAATTTTATTGACCCAAATTTTAGCTCCGAGCCTGATGAACCCGCAGAGCTAGAAGAAGAAATCTCAAAAGTAAACAAAAAAAGCCTTACCCGTGAAGAATACTACACAAAGTTAGCAGAGCTTCACATCAAGTACAACTGCATCCCCCAGGCGATTCGGTACTACACCCTCGCAATTGGTCGGAACCCAACCAAAGAGTCTCTGTACAACGCCCGGGCTAAACTTCAGTATGACTCTGGAAACAGCCGAGCTTTCATTTTGGCCTACCAGGAGTTTTCTTCAAAACTAGACGCGGAAGACCAGCACCAGCTGGTGGTAATAAACTGCGCTAAGAAATTGGCCCAGTTGCTGATTAAAGAAAAAAATTACACCGAGGCTCTGAAGCCCATTGAGTCAATCTTCCAGCATTGTCTGCACCTGCTCTCCGACCAGGAAGTTAATTTATACTTGTTCATCTCTTTGAAGCTCCGTAAATTTTACAAATGCATTGACATTTTATCAAAACACACTTCTATACAAATTGAGTACAAAGTTATTGACTCTAAAATATTTACTCATAAATTATTAACAAGCGCAATTGAGTTTTGTCACATTCCAAAAGAGACTCCAGTTAATTTGAAGATCAATTGCATTATTTTGTTCATTGAGCTCGGGTGCATTGATAAGGTTGACTGCTATCTTGATGAATTCGACCTGAAGAATATTAAAATTTACAGTAATTTAATTGTTGATCTAATTAAATCATTAATGAACATCCAGAGGTACGACAGAGCTCGTAGGTTGCTTGAATTGTTGATGAAATGGAACAAAGTTAAAAATTTAGTTTCTCTTTGGATGCTCTATGCAGAATGCTGCGTGGAATGTTTTGCTAAAGTTGAAAATTTTGAGCTTAATATTTCAGAATTTCTTCAGAATTCTGAAACAGATCCGATCATTCCTTTGATCCAGTCGGCAATTGTTGACAAGATGGCGGTCGAAACAAAATGGATGCGCTTGGCACGCATTTATCAAGAGTTTGGTTATGAAGACCAGATGGCTACTTGTCGCACTAAAGCGGCGGGAGTTGATTTGAAAAATAATAAGCCTGAAGTAGAAAATGGGCTTGATTGTTTGGATATACTGAAGAATTAACAGGGATTATTTTCAATGTGGTGGAAAGTCAGTAGAATTAGCTAATAATTTTTCTGTTTTATGTTAAAGTCATTATTATTTTTTAAAGGCTATTTAATGTAAAAAGATTGTAAATTTTATAATAATATGAAGTTTAATATATTTTATTTTTTTTTTTTGCCAATAAAATCTATTCTATCGAATTCCTTTATTCCCAATGATAAGTATTAGATATGCAAAAATCCACAATAACTTATTTTTCGAGAAAAAAAAAATTTTTTTTAATTCCTGATTTATTCTGAAAAAGTCAATAAAAGTTTCATTCTTACTTCCGCTGGATAAGTACGAAATTTATGATAAATTCTAAAAAAGTCTTTCAGCAGAGTCCAAAAACTTTTAAAAATACAGTCTTTAAACTGCCTATTAATTTTTAAATAGTTATTGTTATACTTTTTCAGAGTGTTTTCGAATTTTTCAAACAAATTAATTCTCATAGAATTATTATTCAGAACACTGCAAGAATTAAATAGACTTCTAGCAGAAATATATTTCCACCAGGGTTAGTTTGAAAAATGCCTAAAATTTAGGCTTCTAGACCAGAATACCCCCACGGAAAAAAGTAAACTGTAATAAATAACAGTTGATTTATAATAAGTAATGATCAACTGCTAAAAATTACCATTTTAAACAGTAAAATCGTGATTTTACTATTCACTTTATAATATTTACCATTTAAACGTTACAATTTGCTCTTTACATGGAAGAAAATACTATTTCAAACAGTAATATTCGCTATGTATATGTCTAAAATGTTTAAGTATAATAATTAAGAATTCAGCTAGACTTTGATATTTATCATTTCGTACCTTAAAAATGATCTTATGATATGTAAAAAGTATAAAATAAAGTTAGTATATTTCTAATACAAGCAACGTCAATATTTACAACCCGAGTAAAAAAGATTTTATATAATTAGATACAATTATGTATAAATTATATATAATTATATAAAAAAAAATGGCCCGATAAAATTGGATAGAAATAGTATATAATTGTATAAAATTATATATAATTTTATACAATTATGTATAATTATTTCCATAGAAATAAAAATATCTGGCGTGGGCAGGGATCGAACCTGGGACCTGACGCTTGGAAGACTGATTCACTACTTTTTTTTTTTTTTTTTTTAAAGAAGTTTATTTGCATATGAAAAAATACATTTTTGTTTTATAATAAGCTGCAAACTAAAAACTTAAAAACTAGCTTTACTACATTATACACTTTGGTTTTAACTTAGTTACTAGTCTCCTTGATTGGAGCAGCTAAAACTAATTCATATTTCTAGAAAAAATAATTCTATTTGTTTTTATTTTATTGTTTTTAGAATTTAATAGTTCTAAGTTATTGGCAATTAATAAGCCTCCTGGATGCTAATTTTTATTATAATAATTAATGGAAAACTTTTCTTATAAAAACCATTTTCTCTTACTAGTAGACTGATTCACTATACCTGTTTACCTACTAGAACTTACTTGAAGGACAGAGTGTCAGAGTGTACGTGTAGTAACTATAAGTAATGAAAATCGTACACATGATCGATTCGTAATGAACAAAATTTTTTATGAAATTTATAAATTATTCATTATTAATATATATGTATGTATATAATAATGATATCTATGTGTAGATTTATAAAATTATCTATGTATATGTAAAATCGCAAAAATGATTCTAAGAAATTTTTAAGGTATCTTAACACGTGTTCCGTTGCTTTAGAATCTATAATTACTTTAAAATTAAAAAAATAATAGAGGTAGAATCAGAATTAAAAGCTCAAATTTTAAAGGAATTATTTGTTTAGTATATGGAACTATATATTGCTGAAGGGTCTTAAGTAACAATTTTTAAACTTGACGAAACT